GACGTCTTATGTTTTGCACTTGAAGGTTCAAACGAACAAGAATATCAGAAATCTGATTCTTAAGATTTAATGAGGTAGTGTTACTAACACTTTTGATTGCAAAAAAACGTTCTATCAAAATTTCATTACTATTCACAAACCTCAAGATAATGGCCATTTGTTCAAGTGAAGATTCATCCCGTACTTCGTCAACAAGAATACAAAACTTTGCATCCCAACTTCGTCACGAATTCTTTGTCGTACTTTATTGGCCATAATGTATAAAACCTCTTTTTAAATGTCCGGAGACATGTATTTAGCATTTTTGGGAGCATTACCCAACACAACTTTTCCTACTTCCGTATTCATTTTTCCAAATGCATCCACCATTTCAATGAAATTCCCACGATTCATTGAAGATGGAGATTCATCATGGCCTCTAAAGATAAACTTGAAGTGCTAACCACTTAACACTCATAATAGTGGTCTTTAGATGCAAACAATTTTTTTGTTTTTCCTCAGCTAATACAGAATGCATTACTTTGTCAATATATTGAGTTGGTACCATTAGATCTGCAACTCTTCTCTTACAACTATTATGATACGATGAAGATGTTGTACCAATATGAATAAGAAATGCACATTTACTTCCTTGGTTAACCCTCTTTCAACTATCAAATCCAATAGTAACCAACGATGAAATATTAGGTGGAGCACTATCATTGAGAAAAATGAAGCAATAAAAACAATATGCCTTACCTGTTGAAGGTGAATATTCCAACCAAGGAAATTGATTGTACCAACGCTCCTGAAATCGAAGTTTCTGCTTTTCACATTCTTTACTTTGATAATCTAAAAATTTTGGTTGATAGGGTCCAGTATTTAGATAAGCTCGTCTAATCTAATCACGTTCATTGAATGGATGTTCAGATATTTGCTTTCTTTTTCCTGAGTCCCGTTCAATAGAATCAGATGGTTCCAAATTAAAATTAGAAGATGAAGGCCATTCAACTTCAGGAGATGAAATTGGATTTGGAGTGGACGTCGTAGGAATTGGAGTACCCTGATGTTTGTTGCTATTTGAAAAGAAAGATAACAAAATTCTTCATTTCTTGGAAGGAGGTCGATCTTCTTCCATATTAAACCTAAAAGCATAAATATCAAAATACTTCAATATCCTATAAATTCTTATCATTATATCATATGTAATAAATTCCTAATTTAGCACAATCTTTAATAAGCCCTTCAAGCATCTTCAGTTCTTCACCAAGACAAAACTAGAAAAGTTAGCACAATCTTGAATGGCTTATTATTGACAATTCACAATTCCAAATGTCTATCATCACAATTCACAGCATCACATCACATGTGAACAAATGAAAATCACAGCTAAATGAGTAATTTGTAAATGACTAAATCACAACTTTTATCCCCAATTTTCACTCAATCACAGTTAAATAAAAATCATTAAAATACGTCAAATTGAGGATAAGTTTGCAAAAATAAACAAATTGAACAAGTAATTAGAGTCCAAAACAATTTCAAAAATAGCCCAAGAAAGTCATTCATAAATCATAAATAAAAATCATAAAATAAAAGTGTAGTACTTGAAAATAATTGTTGAAGAAGCCGAAGGTAAAGTCTCTGTTTGAAGAACAGTGAACTTTAAGGCTCAAGGCTGTGAAAGGTGAAGCCGTGAACTTGAAGAAGAAGAACAGAACAGTGAAGCCGAAGCCCGAAGGTGAAGCCGTGAACTTGATCTTGAAGGCAGAAGTTTTGCAGGAGAGAGACCGAAAGTTCGAAACCGAATGTTGAATCGTTGATTCTGCTGACCTAATTTCTTGAAGAAGACTTCGGCCATTTTTGTTCGCTACTTCGCTGAACGTCAGACTGAAAAAATGTGGGTGAAACCCAGGGGCTGGTCTGTTGCTGCTCAAACCGGAGCGATATCGTGAAAAGTGAAAAATAGTGAAAGGGTTTGGGAAATGCCGAAATGGGAATTAATTGGGTTTTCAATTGGGCTACTGACTACTGGGCCAAACGGTGGGCTATGACCATTTAACCTATAATTTCCATTAATTTTGTGCATAGATAGATATGCTTAAATGGGCATAATCACACGTGAATTAAAAATATTGGGTTAGTGACTTAAATTCAATTAGAGTTTGCGTGGTTTAGTGTATATATTGAGCTTTCTACTAGCCGGACACTCAAGCGATGAGAGAAAATTTTCAACAAAAGACCTGCAATCCACCTACCACTTGACTGACGCTCGCCTGGCACTCAAGCGCCACTGTCGTTTGGATGTTCTTTATTTTGTTTATTCCACACATTGACCTACAAAATTTCCATTGACAAATTGAAATTTCTCGGTGAAGTTCACATTTCCACACAAAACTGATGTTTTGTAGGGCCATGATTTACTTCAATTTTTATCCAAAACACTTCTTGTTTCATACTTTCCTTCTCTCTCTCCTCCCTTGTCCGTACACACATCTTCTGCAGCTATGATCCCAAAGAACCCTCGTTGTTTCATTCTCTCTCTGTCGTTTTTCTTATGTTTCTATATTAACATCAATCTTTCACTAGGAGGTGACAGCATTAGAGCAAACCAATCTCTCTCTGGAAAACAGACAATCGTGTCTTCTGGTGGGACTTTTGAACTGGGATTCTTCAAACCAGGTAATTCTTCCAGGTATTATATTGGAATTTGGTACAAAGATAGTAGTCCAATGACCCTAGTTTGGGTAGCAAATAGGGAGACACCCATTTCAGACACGAACTCTGCAGAACTTAAGATTTTAGATGGGAATTTGGTGCTTATGAATGAGTCCAAGGTTTCAATTTGGTCGACTAATGTAAACTTGACAACCTCAAATACTGTAGTGGCAACTCTAGGTGATAATGGAAATTTAGTTTTGAGAGATGAGTCGGAACCTAGGACAAGTGAAGAATTTTGGCAAAGTTTTGATAATCCAACAGATACGTTGTTGCCTGGTAACAAGCTTGCCTATGATAAACGTACAAAAACAAAGAAAGTTCTCACTTCTTGGAAAAACTTTGTGGATCCTGCACCTGGGCTTTTCTCCCTTGAATTAGATCCAAATGGGAGTCAGGTAATCTTAAGATGGAATATGACTGAGTGGTACTGGACTAGTGGACCTTGGAATGGGCTTTTTTTCAGTTCAGTCCCCGAAATGAGTTTGAACGGTATTTATAATCATGTTTATGTTGACAACGTTAATGAGAGTTACCTCTCATATTCTCTTAATAATCCTTCCCTTAAATCTGGATATGTGATGGATGTTTCCGGGCAGATTAAGCTGATATTGTGGTATCAGAAGAATCGGCTTTTGGTTTGGCATCAACCTATGCAGCAATGTGATGTGTATGCTTATTGTGGGGCATTTGGTACCTGCAATCAGAATTCATGTTATTGTTTGCCCGGATTTAAGCAAAGGTCGGAATATGATTGGAGTTTGAAGGATTATTCGGGTGGCTGTGTGAGAGATATAATTTTGAACTGTACGAGTGACAGAAAAGACAAGTTTCTGGCGAATAAAATTGTTAGTTTACCTCCAAATCCACAATCAGTGATGGCAGGGAGTGCTCGAGAGTGTAATTCTATCTGCTTGAGTAATTGCTCTTGTACAGCTTACTCTTATGAAGACAATGCATGCTTGGTTTGGAATGGGGAACTAATGGATTTACAACAACCCACAAAAAATAATAGCAGTAAAAGAACGATCAACATTAGACTTTCCGCCTCTGCATCTCAGTTTTCAAATAATAAAAAAAGGAAAGTACTTGTAATCGGCTCTGTTGTGGGTTCTGTTGCGGTTGTTATGGTTCTATTGGCCACTGTCGTGATATGCATATGTCACAGGCATAAATCTGGGACTACAAAAGCAGTTGAGGAATCATCGTTAGCATTTAGGGACAAGGACATGTTACAAATTGAAACCAAAAATTCCTCAGATATGTTGGAGGGAGACAACAAGAGTGGTATCGGTGTTCCTTTCTGCAGTTGGGAAAGTATTATAGCTGCTACCGAGAACTTCTCAGACATACATAAACTTGGACGTGGGGGATTTGGTCCTGTTTACAAGGTTTAACTATTTCTCTCCATAATTGTTTGCTACAACAAAGTTTGTGCTTCCTTTTGTATTGATTCTAGCTAACAACTCTTGCAGGCAATATTTCCCGGAGGGCAAGAAATTGCGGTGAAAAGGTTGTCAAGTTGTTCTTTGCAAGGCTTTAACGAATTTCAAAACGAAATTGTATTGATTGCAAAGCTTCAACACCGAAACCTCGTTCGCCTTTTGGGCTATTGCATGAAGGGGAATGAAAAAATCTTACTCTATGAATACATGCCCAACAAAAGTTTGGATGCCTTTATATTTGGTTAGTTCATGGAAAATGATATGATTTATATTTACAATTTTCATTTCTACTATTAATAATTTTTTTCGCAAATACTAGATAAAAAATTATGCATGTTACTGAACTGGAAGAAGCGTTTTGACATCATTTTGGGGATAGCAAGAGGGGTTCTTTATCTTCATCAAGATTCAAGGTTGAGGATAATTCATAGAGATTTGAAAACAAGCAACATTTTGTTAGACGAAGTGATGAACCCCAAAATTTCAGACTTCGGTTTGGCAAGAATTGTTGAGGGCACTGGAACAGAAACAAGCACCAGTAAAGTCACAGGAACCTAGTAAGTGTCAATTAAAATGATATGATTACACTGAGACTACTGAAAGCACGAAAAACTGAAACATTTCATTATCTTATCTGATTATAATGATCTTGTACATACAATCTCCAGATTTTGGCCTAGATCAGCAAATCAGTTCTTGGCTCCTCTGTGCCATGTGCAATGATATCAACAATGACAGATTTCTATTAAGCTATGCATAGTATTATGCGCGCGCACACACACACACACACACTAACTTCTAGTTACCTTGATCCAGTGGTTATATGGCTCCGGAGTATGCATCGGATGGACTATTCTCTATAAAGTCAGATGTATTTAGTTTTGGAGTTGTTGTACTCGAGATAGTCACAGGAAAGAAAAACACGGGATTTTACCAATCCTCAGAAGACTTGAATCTCTTGGGTTATGTAAGTAGATAAATTCCTCCATTCATATGCAAGATTTTATCCAATTCACAGTCTAAAATATTTTGAAGCTATTCATGCAGGTATGGAGACTGTGGAGTGAAAACAAGGCATTCGATTTGGTGGACCGAACACTGCTTGAATCTTGTGAGAAATCTGAAGTTATAAAGTGTATTAATGTTGGGCTATTGTGTGTGGAAGAAGATCCCAGTGATCGCCCCACTATGTCAAATGTAGTCCTAATGCTTAGTGGCGAAACTACAGTCGTTCCAGTTCCCAATCAACCGGCTTTTGTAATGCGAAAACGTGTTTTTAGCACATCTTCCTCATCCTCTAATAAACCGGATGCAATTTCCAATGAATTGACAATGTCTGCTCCAGATGGGAGATGAGGAATTCGCTTATTTCCTTCCATTAGTGTTTGTTTGTATGTTCAACCAAAATTCGCACCAACCAGTTCTTTAAGATACTCTAGAAACTGATGTATGTAGAACTATGCCAAGTAAGATAGCAATCTCTTGTACACTCATTTTTACATCTCTTTTATGTTATTTTACTTTTGGGGTATTGGTAAAAGTCATGTACAGATATTCTATTAGTAATGAATAAAATAAACTATATATAAAAACAAACAGTTATGTAATGCCATTGCTAGAAATAATGGAGTATGTTGTTCTGCTAAATTTTAATCTTCCAACTACTGAACTCTAATTGTACATTTATCCACAATGGTTACATCAGATGTTGAATAAGATATTGATGGATCCCTAGTCTTGTCCACGCCTCCTAGGTGAAAATCCTAAAGACATACATAGGCGCATGTCTACAGCTTTTATGTATAAGCCCACATGCATTCATGTGACTATTGTTGTAATCTTGTTGTTCAAAACCAAGATTTGAGATGAATTGAGAAAATGGAAAAATGAGATGAAAGTTTTGCCTATGCGTACCCACAGGCCATTTGGCCGTGCATACACGAACTTGAAGTTGAGAAGAACTAGGCAAAAATGCCTCTACTGTGAGTACGCACAGGCTAAAAATTTAGCCGTTGGAGAAATTTTTGTTTGAATTTCTGGCGGTTGTTCGGCGAACTCTTTCAACTTTCCATGAAGTGTTGGAACTATTTTGTGTGGGGATGATTGAAAACTATAAATATATGATAGTATTCATCCAAAATATGTTGTTGTGAAGTGAAAATCATTCCATTGTTCATCAAAAATTCTGGGCAAAAATTGTTGTCAACATTTACATATTCAAACATTGTTTTCACTTGTTCAAACTTCGAGAAACACTTTGTGCTTTTGGTGTTCTTCATTCAAGGCTTGAATCCTACAAACTATTTGCCAAATATTATCCTTAAAAGCATTAGAGGAGGAGGCAAATATCGTTTGAGGATAACGATTCATTTTTCGTTATCAAGTCTTGTTCTTGTTTCTATTTCCGGATTCATCTTGTTCTTCAATTTTGTTTCCATTGCTGTATCCTCCATCTACAACAACTATTATTAATAAATTCATAGAACACAGTGTCTCCTACTATCATAATGGTTAGCAGCAACTCGAAAATAAAAGAACATAAAAGATGAATATATTATCAACTGACGCACTAGAACAGTCGTGGCATTAAATATTCTTCAAACAAATAAAACATAAATAAATATATTTATTGATTTCGAAACGATTACATACTTAGGTATGACACGAGAACAAACAAAATGTACTCGAATCTTATCGCTGTCTAGTCATCAAAATTCTATGTCTTCTGGGATGATGAGTGCAGCATATATAAAAGTCTAGGAATATAAATGCTCATTTTTAAAGGTTGAAGACTAAGGTACAATTCGAGCCAAAGGTCAACAACCTCCGTTGCTAATTTCCCCTGTTAAATCATTCAAAATTTTTGAATTGAAACAAAGTAAAATCCTACAAATAAAGCATTATAAAAAATATGGATCTTGCACAAATTTGCAGCAGCATCATCCAAAAAGTAAAACAATTTAGAATAGGGTTTTGCTAAAAGTACAGGGGGAGGAGGGGGGGATGGGGTGGGTAGTTTCACAAGCAACAGACATAGGGGAGGACGGTGGTATTTTTTTCAATTTTTTAACACATATGGGGCCAGTGCTACAGTGAGGGGCTGTAAAGCCCTTGTGAAAATAGCTTACCCTTATATTTAACACTTAATTTTACTATTCTCAAAAAATATTTATTATTTTTGTCTTATCTTTTATTTTAAATAGTTTTTCTTTAGATTAT